AATACTGGGTCAGAATCACAATCGAGTCATTCAATTCAGTGGTTAATGAGTTTTGTTTTTCGTTGGCGACTTCACCTCTTCCATCTGCCCACTTTGTGCTCTCTTCGCCTTATGCAACACCAGTCGTGTAGGGCATTATTATAACTTATGCTAATTAGGTTAGAATTATTTGCCTACCGTTATAGCGTGACATTTGCGTATAATCGCGAGTCTTAACGGCATCTGTCTCTTAGAAACAACAGCCACTGTAACTTTGGCTCGGACTGCGCCATCGTTTGCATCACTGGTGGAGACAAGGTAAAATATACTTAAAGGAACTCAAAACAACACCACAGTCGAACGACCAGTGGAAGGGACGAATACGCGTGCGAACCACGAAACGCTGAAATGCACGCAGATGAAGCGCACACACTGAGCTAGTAACTCCTCGCAGAGCGGCTACATCCCACTGTAAGCAGAGTGTTTTGTTGGCCACTTCCAAACCGTAAGGTGTTTCCTAACCCTTCGATATAGGTGCTAAACAGCATGTGTAACATTCAGACAAATCAATCACTCCCGCACCGGGTAGTTACCAGTTGGAATATCCAGGTAATTATCAAATTAATTATATCAAGTATTATGCGTTGTGTGCCTCTTAATGGCCTTAAATTTCAAGTTATGACAACTATTTTTGTTTTATTCAATAATATGTGTCTAAAATTTACGTACTACTAATTAACTGTGAAAGATAGTTATCGAATGACAAAATCTCGATTAGCTATATGACTGTTTAGATGAATATCGATGGTCGCATAGTGTCATAAAGTACAATGTATAAGCCAAAAAGTTCATGGACAATTTTTGCCATCGAGGGCAGGGCATAGTCATGTGTTGCCGAATCTATCTTAAAGATGATGACTTTTCGCCCTATTGTCTTCTAGTAGAAACAAAAACAGTGCGCCAAACCTTCGTTCTGCTTTGCAACGGAAATGTCCGTCTCTCAGACACATCTAAAGGCATAAAAGGATGACGACTGTTTTAAAGTTCATGATAGACGCAATTTACAACACATCCGTTGTTGTCTGCTTTTCGGGATATAAATATGTAATTCAAGTTGACGTTGCAGATGGCGCTGTTTTCGATACACGTGTTCAAATTTTAACTTTGCTCCTTCAACCTTTACGGCAGCGACTGCTTTACTACGTTTTGATCCCCCCCTCCAACACCTATGTTGAGTGTGCTCTACATCTCCATAGTGCTCAAACAAAGCGGTTGGCATAATTTGTTGACAATGAGTCTAAATATGCTTGCCGTCTCTCAGGATTTGCACTAACTCGCTGAAGAGAGAAAACATAAACAGAAGAAGAAAGGCACCATAGAATGGCTCTATTTTTATCACAACACCGGTACTCGTCATTGAGCTGTTCATGTGCTCGATGGAAAGATCGGTTCGACTCAGTCACATTGAACGCAATAATCTGTAGATCCGAATGCTAAAGATGACTTAAACAACCTGATGCTCAGGCAGAGAAAGATTACGAGGAAATGTGCCATACTGCTCTTCAGAATCTCAAATAAAGTGCATGATTTCTACACGGCACGACCTTTACTTTCACTACATTGAGAAAATGTCGGTCGTTTGCGTAGCTGGCGCGAACAACAACCGGTGAAAATCCAGAATTACGACAAGAAGTATAAAAAGTGATAAAAAAACAAGCTCTGTTAACCAGTCATCAAAAAAACAATTTTTTGCTAATATGATCGGAACGTGATGGGCCAAACAAACCTATGACAGTGTTTCCGAAAGGCAGGTCTTCCCCCAGCGGTCGACGAACGTAGAATACAATGATCATGTGCTAAATGTCATCCCCTCCTTAGTGGGTTAACTGTCTGGTAGGCAACTGGGTGTTATCGTTTACCGTACATTGATTTGACTGTAATCATTTAAGTAGCAGTAAAAATCATGGTGATGCCGGATTAAACCGGCAAATGAACAATGCAAAGAAAGAAAAATCAATTTCTCACTTTACGCCAGCGGCTGATTGCACCGCCCCTTGCTTCTAGACGCCTAGGGGGCCTTTTAAATATTTTCCTCCTTTCCTTCTAAGGAATTCGCTTAAAGTCGCATGATCCTTCTTCTGTTTCGCCTGTGGGTCAGTGTTTTCTGTTCGCCGTTTG